TCAAGGCGAGCGGAATTATATATGGTTATTTTATTGCGATCTTAGTTACTATTTTGTTATTCTCCATTCAAAAGTTGTGAATGGAAGCAATTCACTTGCAGGGTCAGGCACAAAAGTTCGACTAGAAAAGTATATTCCCCATTAGCGATCATTCACTCCACGCTTTTCATTTATTTCTGGTACAACAATGGATTCCATTCACTTTTTACACAGTGGAAGGAATGATAAATCGTGCTTCCAAATGACATCTTTTGGGACGAATGTAACAGTTGTAAAGGCGGGATTGACGCTTGCATAAATTTGGGAAAAATTTTGCACCGAGCAAATCTCTGTAACCTCCTCCCAAAAAAATTTCAACTTTAGAATTTTACTTATTTCGATGAGAGATAGTTAATCGATGCTGTAAAGATATCAGCGGCACAAGAAGAAGAGTTGTGTCTTGTAAGGTTGTTGCATCAGTACTATAAAATGCTGAAAACGTTTGAAGAACTTGGCAAGAAGGTCGAGAGACGAAGATACAATATATACCGCACAAATTTCTGCAAAAAACGTGTTTCGCATAAAAATTCGTGGCGAAGCATCGTCATAACTTCTTTCAAAATAGATTTTATCAAAGAAAAGAGGTGTTAGACTCAGATCGCTTAGACGAATCTCGTGTGCCTGCAGTAACATAAGTGTACGGTAGATAGGGCAAGAAGTCAAGATCGAAAATCCGTCCCAAAGTTTGCGTAGATCGGGGGGGAGGGGGTTGTACAGCGCCCTCAGCACTTTTGAACGCTCAGTCTAACACCCCTTTTCCCTTGAAAAATCTATCTTGAAAGAAGTTATAACGATGCGACGTTTGCGACGGATTTTTATGTGAACTCATTTCTTTGCAGAAGTTATGAGCGGTATAGAGGAGTTCACACAAACAGACCACCTAGCAGGCTGAGCTTCAATATTCCAATTAGGCGAATTGGTAGTTGTTATGTTTGGGCTAGATAACGCGATGTACTCAGTCGAAGGGGCAGAGGAGATTGACAGCGCACCTCAGAAGAGAGAAGAGTAATAATCTGATTTGGTGCAAATATTCCAATTAATCTTATAAGCGTTCTTCTTTAAAAAGACTTCAACCATAATTGTTCATGCCTACCAAACAATAATAATTCCTGAGTGGTCTAACTTTATGTTGAAATGCTGTGTTTTTCCAACAATTCACTGTCGGCAGATACTAAAAATGAAAGCGAGTGTCTCCTCTTTGTACGACCTTATCAAAAATGCTTCGGAGGAATGCATACACCTATGAGATGACATTGCTAGCGGCGTAATCAACGGCCCACGACCAACGGGTAATCTTTGCCAATATCAGGGGGATCCGCGAATATGCACAAATACTCCCACGATGCAAAGTTCTAGTTCCGTAATTGTGGGCGTTCCGTTTTCTTCTATTTTACAAGTTGCATGGGTACATTGAGGAGGCTTTCGATTGTGTAAACATCTGCTGATTGTCAACACTCTAACAGTATGAATTTTTAAATTTAAAAAAAAACTGACAATTTGGATAATGTGGCCAGAGATCACATTTATGGAGAAGCTCGTGCTTAATGTACTCGATCAAGTGGTAACAGGGTTACTGTTAATCATATAGTTAGTGTGACTCAGGGACAAAATCCGCCCTACGCAGCGGATGATATCGTATTTTTTGAGCTCTTAAATCCTGAGAATCATCCTGTTCGATACACATGATTCACAGCCTGTGTGGGGCAATAGGCACACAACAACAGCAATGAGTCGGAACGTAATAATTGGACAACGAGACACAACTTTACCTCCAACTGGCGTCTTTTGGAGCTTCTTTGGGTAAAGCTTGACTTCCTGTTGCCTACTGTAGTTGGAAGAGATTTGAGAACATTCTTGAAAGTTTTATTAAAGTTTGAGGCACATAAGCATGAAATAGCACATGTACACAGCTTTTTCACCTTAGACTTCGTTATAAGGAATTCATCTAATTATTTGAGAGTTAAAGCTAGGTTTCAAAAAACGATTCAGTTGCATGTTTATTCCGACTTTATCTTTGAAGAACGAGCACAGCAGCATTTTCGTATTAACACTGAAAACATTAGTAGGATCAATGCCATTATGGTAAATACGACTGCTACTAGATCAATCAAAAAGTACTGTATCACAGAAAGATGCCTTCCATAAGAATCGAGATTCGATAGACGTCCGAACCTAAGTAGGAAGAAGTGGCAAAGTAGTCAGAGAGGTGTAAGCTACAAAATAACGAACTTAGCAGCGAACTCTGCATGTTTCAGCAGCAATTCGTCTGGTGGAATCGGCTGGTTACGAAGCATTTGGGAAAGTCGGAAAGCGTTCTCGGCATAACTAAAATAAATAGCACTAACTATAAGATAACTAGCAAAGTAACATTCATGATTGGAACATGTAGAAACTAGCAAACCGTGGATTTTTGATGATTTCTTTGAATGCATTCTTTAGTTTCAAAGCATCGCCCAAATCCGATTTGTCTAGAACGATTGCTCCACCGTGGCGAGCCATCATGTGAGCATTTCGCATTTGGTCGCCAAATATCGGAATCTTGAAAATTTTTAGAAACCGTCAATGTTATAATGAATAAGTCGTTTGTACGATCATAATGGAAAATGGATAGCTGATGCGGAGAATCCGAGCATTTTTATTTCGATGAGGATTGCGATGTTTTAGACTGCCAAAATTAGCAGTTAGCAATAGCAACATCGTTAAAGAAGATGCCAAGTTCACTAACCACTATTATCGGTTTGCCCATGTAAGCTACTTCGTTGCAACTACCCATTCCTCCGTGGGTGAGAAAGGCGGACAAACGTTCGCTTTCTACAAATTGGTGAACTGGATCTCAATTAAAAAATTGATTATCTTACCTAAAAGTGGGATTTGTGGCACCCAAGCGCTAA